TGGATTTCACTTATTTTGTATTTCTTATTTACTGAGACGTGTTTTGTAGTTATCCTATACACGAAATATCTTGAGTATTGGATGACTTTAATTTAATTCTGAACTAAATTATGTTCGAAAGATTCCTTGAAAGAACGAACGGTCTCATTATTATTTTTTTCTTATATGTATCTGTTTATTTCTCCTGTTGGTTTAAAAATATCGAGTGACTCGGAATAAATGTCACCCTCAATTCTTCGTCAATATCCTTTTCAGAATTTTCTCAAAAGATTTGTCGTGCAATTATGCACCAAACGGTATGTTTCACTTCAAGATGATATTAGTGAAATATTGAGGGTGACATTTATTCTGGGCTACCCAGTAACATCATTTTTTTTATTGTAAAAAAAAACCTTACACAATAGTTATTCTATATTAATCAAATTAAAAAAAAAAACGATTTTCATTTTAACATAAAATTATTATTATTGTTTTAACATTATTCTAAAATGAATACGACAAAAGAAAAAATGAATAATATTAATTTGTTCTATCTATTTTAATAATAGCACCAACTAAATTGTTTTTGTTTTTATTTAAATTTGTTGAACATGGTGCAGCTGTTTGACAATATTTTGTTTCTTTTAATGGTCCACATCGTTTACTACCATTACGTGTTCGACGTATAGGAATACGTGTACGTATTTGTATGGCATCTTGTCCACAACCTGTACATGGAAACCGTGTACTTCATTGATTTGTAACACAATTAGTTGGTGCTAAATAAAATGAAATAGGAAAAAAACATATCAATAAAAACATGTAACTACATACGACAAGGGTTTAAATGGCATCGTTGAGTTTCCAGAAAAAGTAATTGACGGTGCGCCTATAGAAAATATTTGGATTGCATTAAAAGAAAGCTACCGAGGGCAAAAATAAAATAATATTGAATAATTAGCTATTTTTTGTTTCCTCCTTTTTTATTTGTAAAAAAAAAATGCTTGATTCTAGAAAAACATCCTTCATGAGTTTCAAGCCGTCGGTATTATCTGCATCATACCGGCGGTAATGCGAACAAACATCCAACATAGGATCTTACTTTTAGAAAACGAATTTATTTTTTTAATCACAATATTTTGCATGCTCAAAACTTTCAAATCCAGTTTTTTTTCAGTTTTAATAACATATGTCTGTCGATTATAAATGTACGAATGTCACTTTGATTCATTAATATTAATATTTTTGTTTTCAAAAAGTCTCTTATATTAATACAATAAAATATATCTCTAAAAATCTCGTAATCAATGATTCTATAATAAAATTACCTTTATTTCCATTATTATCACATTGAGCAGCATGTGCACCGTGACATTGACGTTTTTCAATTAAATGAACATCTTTACATCTTGGATCATGATGTGAATTTTCACTGATATACCATCGTCGTCTTTCTGTTGTACCTTGACCATATGATACTGAACATGGTGAAAATGATGACTAATCAGTTACAGTACATCTAAATAAAAAAAAATAATAAAAAATAATTCTTTGTAAAATCAACATACAGTGCAACTTACTGATGTTCATCATCACGATTTTCATCTGTTCTTGCATAACACATTTCACTTTCACTTAATCGTTCATTACATCCATGATGATCAGCATTTTTATAGATTCTACAAAGAAATTAATTTATTATTATTAAAAAATTTTTGAAAAGATTCAAATAAACCTTGTTCGTATTCTTAATCTATTTCCACATTTAACATTACATGGACTCCAATCTGTCCATGGTGATGTCATACATCGTGGATCAGATGATTGTTCATCTAAAATTATGAAAAAATATTTTCATAAATATAATCAATAGACAAAAACAGAATTACCAAGTAATTCTATATTTGTTTTTGCAATATCTTTTTCATTCTCAATTTCACCCATACGACTTAAATCCGCAAAATTTGGACCAAAACCAATAATAGATGATGCTTCACTACGTTATGGTCGACCATTTGGACAAGCTACACCTTGTACCATAATCGGTTTAATACTCAATTTAGCAAATGGAGGTGGTTGATTGCCTAAACAATGAAAAAAATAAATGTTAACATTTTTTTTTGTTTTTATTGCTTTTTTAAAGTTGAATTCATGCCAAAAAAATGGTGATCAATTATCTGTAATATTACTTGAAACAATTGGTGCAATTGGTTTACGCGGATTCTCCGGTCGTTTAGGACCCTAAATAAAATAAAATTTCTCTTTTATTCTATTCTAACAAAAAACGAAATTAAATCATCATTTACATCATATCGAACGCCCATATCTGTTCCAGCATCAATTGGATGATGTAATTCTTCATAGTTATCTAACCATGTACAATTTGGAAGACACAAATCAAGAGCAGATACACCTATAAATAATAACAGTAAAAAATAAAAAAAAAAGAAATTAATATTGAATTCTTATTAGATTCAATAGATTTCTACCAGTAATCCAATCAGGTGATGGTCCAAGCATAGTAACAAATGATAAGAAATGATGATTTCTTGAAGTTGTAAAAGCACCTGTAGTTGTTTTACTTATATTAACTGTCCAAAGACCAGGTACAATCATCAAATTACGAATAACACCCAATTTAGTCTAAATAAATATATTATTTTTCAAATTATTATTTAAAAAAAAAACAAAATACAAAGAGATTCACATGATTTTTTTATTTCTTTTTGCATTGTACCAATGGCTCCTCATTCAGCTACTTGTTTAAGACCATTACTTGCAATATCACCAAAATTCCATACTATCTAAAAACATAAAATTTATTAATTAATATATATATTTTCCAAGCAACAAGTAGTTGTAGTCGGTGCTTTGACTATATCTTCAGCATAAGAGCATAATCATTTATTCTGATAACACTCCAAATTTACTATAACCTTGTGTGTTTGGTATAAAACTTACATTGAAGTGTTGAAAAATATTCCAATTATGGTAAAGACACTCTCGGCTTCAATATTTCCACAAAACTCTTTTTTTCATTCTCACATTCCTATGAATGGTATTTTATATTTCTTCAAGTATTTTCCTTTGTATAATAGTTATACAGTCTCACACTCCATAGTAGTAAGATTATGACTGAAAGATAGGCAACTATTCATACATAACAAAAAAAAAATATGTACTGCATTTGTCTTGCCAGCAAATAATAGCAAGTCGAGCCTAACAAGATACAAGATGTTAGAGAGTTTCATGCACTATCCGAATTTATAATTGCTTTTTTTTTAAATAGATATTACCATACTCATCACAGATTTCAATTAAAACCAAAGACATCGTTAAAAAAAAAGTTTATGGAAATTTAAAGACGAGAATGTCTTCATTGTAGTCGGAATATATTTCAACAATTCAATGCACGTTTAAAAACTAAATACACAAGGTTATAGAGAATTCTGAGCACTATCAGAATATATGATTATTCTATTATGCTGGAGATATATTTAAAATACCGACTACAACTATTTGTTTCTAGATATATATATATATATATATATCATTACATGAATATTCTTCACTGTGAACAGCTCCAATGATATCAGACCAATGAAGAAGATGTTCTAAAAATAAGAAAAAAAATATATCAAATTTCTCTAGAAATATTTCTACCAGCTGGCCAATCTTTTGGATGTGATTGTTTTGACCAAAGACCTTGAAATGTAAATTGAAATTTAGCTTCATCACATGCACAACATGGATGACAAGGTCGATCAACTGCTTTTGGTATATCTAAATCAAGTTAATGAATTTATCTTTAAATATTTTTTTTTTCGTCCTTTAAACTAACTCGTCATCATCATTTCTTTCTGTTTATTTTTCGACTGATTATTATCACCATCAAGTGTACATTGTTGTTCCAAATGTTCTGTACAATGTGCAGCTATCGCTGCTCGTTTATTTGCATACATTCTTGTTCGAATTTGTGTACCTAGTTGATGACAGATAGCATTTATATATGATGACCATTCACTCTACATTGAAACAAGACAACGTGGATCATGAACCACTATTATAATTCAAACAATTGAAATAAGAAAAAAACGATCATGCGTCTTAGAAAAAAAACCTATATTTGATTTATGATTTTGAATAAGTTCATCCCGCATAGCTTCACATTCATCTTGTGTCATAAAATTATTTTCATCGCCTATTAAAAAAAAGATAGATTTAATAAAAAAGCAATTAGGAAATATTTCATCAATACCTCTACATTCATCGTATTGGAAGTTTGAATATTTACGTGTTGTTACATCAAAAGAGAATCGATTAATAAATTTTGTACATGGATCTGGTTCAAATGGTTGCATACATTTATCTACATACACAAAAAACAAAGAAATATTTTATTTTTCAATTTATAAATTAATTTTAACATACTTTTTTTTTCAGCTGTTTCCATACTTTTAATCATTGTTTTTCGTGTATCTGATAAACGATATATTTGTGCTGAATCAGAAAGTACTTCACAATCACGAAATTATTCTAATGGTTCCGAACAAAAACCCATAGCTAAAAATTTTACTTTATATGCACGAAATCGAACTTGTGTTCCACGTCTACAAACAGATGAACAAGCACTCCATTCTGACCATGGTAATGTCATACAACGTGTATCTTTACCATCCTCTAAAAAACGAAATATATTTTAAAAAACAAAATTAATATAATTTATTTTTCTATATTATTACCTGTTCGTCCACGTAATAAAATATCGCATGTATCTTCACATGCATCACGTGTAAGAAAATTATCATCATTAGCACCACAACTACTATAATCAAACTCAAGACATTTACTCATATCCAAATTAAAATAAAAACGTCGTTCATATTGTGTACATGTACCAGTTTCAAGGGATTGCATACATATACGTTTTTTTTCTATTATATCTGTTAAACAGCCTTGTTCACATAATGGTTTCATTCCATGACATGTTTCTTTTTCCATTAATTGATATTCTGATTGACATTGAGGATTATCTCGACCTTTCAACATTGTACGAGAACGAGTACGCATTCCTGTACCACATGTTACAGAACAATGTGACCATGATGACCATTCGCTTACCATACACCTACAAAAAAAAACACAAATTTTTTTTTTTGATTAATTTTAATAATAAATATCATAGAATATTTACATTGCATTATTTGATGATTTGGAATTATCATTTGTCATTGATGATAAATATGATGCCAAGTAATATGAAGTCATATCATAGGTTCTTTGATTACAATGACTACGAAAAGCTTTATCTGGCATAAGATAAGCACGTCGACGTATTTTTATTCCATAATCACAACTAACCGAACATGATGACTATTCAGTCATACGACATTCAGGTAATAATGTTTCTTCTTTAAAATACATAAAACACAAAAAAAAAAGTCAAAACATTTTTCAAAACAATCATTTACCGTAAGCATATATCAATTTTCCAGAATTATCATATTTTTGTTTCAATCGTTCATTATGATGTTTTGTTTGTGATAAATCAGTGTCAAACGAGGAATCTTGATAATTATTTTGAACTCTATAGGAATTTTGTGTATCATATTGATTATTTGAACATTGTTTACCACGAACAAGTGTACGTTGAAGAATAACACGTGATAGAGGCATTATTAATCTTTGATGTTTTTAATAATAAATACATAAGTTTTATCCTTGGATTAGCCAACATAAATGAAACGCAAATAGAAAATTAGACATAATACAATTCATTACTATGATGACTCCATTAATAGATAACAATGTATTTCTAAACAAGCTATTGATTGGTTATCTAAACGTGTATGTTACGCAATATTGTTTTTCAACTCTTCACATCATGTGATATGAATGATAAAATAAGTTTGACAAGATTATGTCTTTCGTAAATATTATTGTTTTTGGAAAATGATATTTTATTTAAAACTGTTTATTAAAAACAAATTCTTTTTTTTTTGATTTTTAGAAAATGATACACAGCAATAGAATAAATTTTCTATGCACAAAAAGATTAACATAGAGCTAACGAAGACTTTTTTAATACATTATTATTTTTATTATAATTCATCTTGATTTTTCATTTTAGATCAATGGTCAGTATGACAGATTCTTTGTAATCATTTTGTGATATAAGAAATTATTATAATATTGTAAATCTAAAAGAAATTTTTTTTAATGTACTTATAATTTCAAATTATTAACTTACTCTTATAAGAGAAAAACGAATACATATAAAATAACAATATATGATGGAGATTTATTAAACATGAAATTAATTAAATTAAGCTCATTATATGATAACGGAATGATTTTGCTGTCGTTTATTATGGTTTCCAGAGATTATCATAAACTGTTATTGAAATACAAGGAAACTTTTGTATAAAATTATTTTTTTAAAAGTTAACTTACTTTTACAAAGTAGAACATAAGTACATACAGCAAATTAACAATTCTCTCAGCAATGGCAATTCTATTAAATATTAATATATTGAACTAATCATGTAAACTTTGTAATGATAAAATAATTTTGTATTATAATTGTCCAAGAAAAAAAATAAATACTATGATATGTATGTATTCAGATGAGTTTGCATATTTTGTTTTGCACTTGTAGTTTATCAGCTTGCTATTGACTGGAACAATAAAGGTACAATTTTTAATAGTAACGTTGTCCATCATAGTTAATAAATAAAAGAATAATTTTTTTTTGCAAGAATGAATAAAATAATAAAATAATCACTTTACCACTAATACAAGCATATTGGAGTTAAAATGTACAAATAATAATTTACATGATAATAATAATATAAAATTACAAGATTCAGCTCAAAGACAGTTAGTAAAGGGAACAACAATATACAAGACAATGGAAATAAAATTCCTATTACATGAAAAATAATAAAAGAATTTTGAATAAAAGAGAAAAAAAGTAAAAATAAATGATTTTAGGTTAATTGTAAATCATCAAAGGACATAATAGGAATAGCTCCATCAAAATCTTTAACACTTTCGTAGTGTTGATTATATGGATTATATGAAATGTGAAGTTGTCGATCAATATAATCAGATCCAGGTATTAGCAATGGACGTTTACCATATTCATGAATGATTATATTTTGATTCAAAATAGAAGCTGTAGCCATAATAATCAAATGATCTGCATATGTATAGTTTCTCTTCATACGATGAATGTAATCATAAATAGTATCGTCTTCACCGCTGACAAAAAACTCAAATGCAGCACTATTTCGTGTAATATACGTAATTGCATCAGATCTGAATCTACGATGATATGCTTGAGTATCAAAAAGCTGATGAGATATAGCCCGAAAGAAACAATTACCATCACCAACAATTGTTATTGTACGAAGATTTAAACCTCTCAATTGTTCGGTTAATGAATGAAATCTGAAATCATCGATTGTTAAGTTGTTGAGTGGTATTGTTTCTTTTAGATTTGAGAGAAATTCTAACTCTCGCGTGCTTGGAGATTTATTTACATCAGTTATCTTGCTTGAATCAGGATTTTTTTGATCATGATTCGCATTATTATTATTCTTATCCATAACTGGTACAAGAGTTTTATTTTTAAATTTTTTATTATTTTTTTTTCCTATTGAAGTACTTTTACGTTTGTTTGAATTATTAGAAATTCTAATGATTGATGATAATGATTCTGAACTTGAATTTACTTCCATTCTTTCATCACTGTCATCTTCAGTTTCAATATAATTATGTACTTTATCTTTGATACTGTTAATTGATAAAGCCAATGCTTCATGAAAACTATAAAAGGTTTCTACGACTTGTTGGCATTCTTTTTCGCATGGTACAAAATTTAAATATGCAGAATCAAGACTTGTCAAGCTATTAGTAGTAGCTAAATGTCTAAATGTATTTACAAAACCTAGCTTTTTCAATGATCTCTCAATATTTTTTGATTTAGTTTGAAAACTATTTTCATTCATGTCACCTAGAATCAATATACGTTCATTACTATCAAATTGCTTTAAATGACGTATAAGGTTTTCTATAAAATTTCTTTTTGCTTCTTGAGGTGACCGATAGCAAACTATTATGATGATTTTTTCTTTTTCTAATTTTAAAGTAATATGTTCAAGATCTAAATATTCAGTTGAATCTATTGTCTTGATAGGCATGTCGTCTCGAAAATAAATAGCAACACCACCACCTTTTTGTGAGTGAAGTGGATGATTTGTAGACAATGAGCATGATCGTGATTTATGAATAAGAGTATAACCATTGATTTTGAATTTATCTATTTGGCTATTATTATTTAACCAAGTCTCAGTTAAACAAATCAAATCTGCTTGCCAAGTAAGATAATGATTTCTGAGTGCATTGAAATTACATTTCAATCCTTCAATATTATGAAATAGTATATTTAAAAATTCTGAAGAATGTCGAAATATCGATGTTTTTCTTTTGATCTCTTTCATTTGAGAAAGAATTCTATCAACATTTTCATTACAATAAAATTTATCAACATGTAAGTCGATAAGAAATAAACCTTCTAGTGTTCGAACACGAGACAATGCTGTATAGCCCATCCCACTACCGAAAAAATCTTTTGTACTAATTACAACTTGATCAACTGTTATTCCTTGAGCTTTATGTATAGTCATTGCCCAACTAAGACGTAAAGGAAATTGTTTTATTGCTTTCCTTGATCGTACATCAAAATCTTGTTGATCAATACTGTCACTTTCTCTTATTACACATATTGTATCACGTCCATGACAATGTGGACAACTAACTCGATGAAGTCGTCCAACTTTAGGTGAATCACATTTGATTATTATATGAGAAACGTGTGCATTATTATTTTCTACAAATTCTACAATACGACCTGTCACACCATTAGCTAATCCATCATTTACACAAATATTTTTAGTTATCATTACTCGAGCATTTTTAGCAAGGCGTAGTGATTTATTTATTTTTTTTGTATGTTTAGATTCATTCTGTTTTATCTCTTTATCATTTCTATTAACTTCATAAAATGTTTGAATATTGGTACAAATTTTTTCAATCATCTCTTCGTTATGTGCATCCACCTGAATATTTTTAGCAAATAAATGTAATGATTCGGAATGATATTCCTTATGCAAATAGCGTTGATGACATTTTTCAAGTGAGTCACGATCTTCTTTACTCATATCTTCCTTCTTTTTAAGTTTACGGATGCGATTTAACATTTGTGAAAAAGAACTATTTGTTTTTTGTCTTTCATTGATTTTGAGTTCGATATACTCAAAATGATCAGACCAAAGTAAAGAAGAATAAATACTTGAAGATGCAACAGGTGCACATTGATAAAAGTCACCAATAGCGATTATTCCAACGTTACCGAAAATAGCTGTATTCGAATGTATACCCATGATTTGAGTAAGACGAGCATGCATAGCACCCCAAAGCTTTGCTTGAATGAGAGAAACCTCATCAACAAATAATAGTTTTAAGGAATGTAATTTACATCGATAGCTATTTAGTTTATCACAAGATAAATGATCGTTTAAACTATTAGATTGAGTGCCAATACCGAATGCACTATGAATAGTTACTCCACCAACATTGACAGCTGCGGCACCAGTAAAAGCTGTAATCAATGTATGAATTTCGTCAATATTTTCATCAGGTTCTAAGTGTTTTTTTCGAGAAAAAATCTTCGTTGCTTCGTAATGAAGACATTTCAAAAGATGACTTTTACCTGTGCCTGCTCCTCCCGTAATGAACAAACGAAGAGGTTCGACATCAGGATTATGTAAGCGTTTTGTACACCATTCTCGAACATAATAAAATACTTCTTGTTGTTCATAGTTCATTGATTCTAAGAAGGGTCTTATTTCATCTGTAGTAGCAAAAGTTTGCTTCAAGTCAATGAACGTATTTTTATTTTTTCTTTTATGAATAATATTAAAATCGGGATTATCTTCTCGTTCAATATCTCCTGACCATGTATTATCCTTTTCTTTATTAGCAACAATTTCAGCCCATTCGTTGTCTTTCATATCTACGGACAATTGATTAAATAATGATTCCGCTTCATCTGTTTCTTTCCAATGAGCTTCATATTTTTTTCGATTTTCATAGACAACTTCTTTTACTTTTCTTATACATT